TCGATTAAGCAAGCGTATATTTGCTATAACAATCGACTACGTTAATTTATTTTTCGCATTTAAGTATTGTCTTGAGACCACCAGTAAATCAGTAATATGAGATGTAATGGTGCTACGAATAGCAAGGCTCACTGACTATTCTGGCGAAACGTCGTGAAATGTACCACTTCCACGGGCTGACTGCAAATTATCATGCATACTATGGATTCCCGCCAATACGACCAAGTTGGTAAAGCGAACTAATACCACAACTATACAACGAAATGAGACTGCGACCATACGAAAAGCCAGACCATTTTGGTCTTCATACTTTCGACTATAAGCTTATTTTTCAGGATATCATATTTGAAAAACTCAATAGCTTTCCTCTCATAAAAAAATCCCCTACATGGCCATATGAGTCATTTATGAACTACGTAATACTAAGTGAACATCACTACTAATAGTTTTACCTCATCTTTAATGTTTTAGCTATGTTCCCCTTATTTTGTTTTAGAGGAGGAAGGACTTTTGGTTAAATTTTCCCACAATAATGTGAGTAGACATGACCTTTCCATTGAATTTCATATAACCTTGCTTTCCCAAAAGTTATTCCCATCAAGATTGGACTGCAGTTTCGACCTCGCCTAGGCCTTATCAACACCCCTATCTCGTATATCTGACTTACTGGTAGTTTTGACAACCTACTAATAAACGAAACATAAATAATGTCGTCGATTGCCATGGAAAATATAAATGTGCTCCATCGACAATCACTTCGAATAATGTGATATCGGAAAATTCCAGGTCTTCCTTGCAATTCACATCTGCGGTGTGATCAAAGGGCACTCGTGGCAATGTGACGAAGTTGTTAACATTTCGAGATTACGCCGCTGGGCTTTCATGGTTCGAGTCTCATTATGAGTGTTGATAAGACCTAGGCGATGTCAAAACTGCACTCCACTCCAGCCCGGATGAAAACGTCTTTTGGGTAAGCAATGCTAGACGAAATTCAATGGAAACGTCATGTCTACTTACGTCGACCTGGAAAAATTCAACCAACAGCCCTAAATCACCGTAAACGAAATGGGGTGAATACAACTCATATATCTCATTTACTGATAATCTTGAAAACCCTACTTAAAAACAAAATAGTGTTTTTGCATTTTAAAATCCAACATATGACTTTAGTTAGAAAAATGTTGAATTTAGCATAATTGAGCTTGGCCGTGACAGTATTTGGTTCATTTTTAGAATATCTAATACCCTTGTTCCAGGTATTTAAATTACCTTTCTTTACTTTTACGTCATACGTAGGTCCCCGGCGTCCAGTCTCAGGTTCAAGCACTGATCAGCGCTTTAGACCGCGGACTCGACTTTCCTGCCATTCCACCCACCTCCCCTGCCTATTACACCTATCAACAGCAATTGACCAACCTCCATCAAAAATACCGTTATGGCCACCTTCACCAATCACATGCCCCTCAGACTTCTCAGCCTCGTCGTTCATCACTGGTTTCCTCTTTAGCCACTTCTTCAAGCAATGTGATGGCTACGACTGTAACACTGACTCTAGGACCTGGCTCTCTTGCTGGAGCGTGTGTACCCAGCATATCTTCTGTTGCTGGAAATGGAACTTTTGGTGCAGGTAGTTCCAGTGGCGGTGGTTTAGGTATATGTTTTTCGCAAGTTTTCTCTCTTTCTATAACTAGCCTCTTCCGAGGAGCACTGGGTACCAAATCTTCATCATTAGGAGAGCAACACCACCAACAGCAGCATCAATACTCCTGAACCGCATGCACCTACCTCTCAAACGCTCCACAAATCAGTTTGAGGGCCAAATAATCTTTACTCGAAGATACCGTCTTATGCGAGGCTAGCTTACTGGATTTGCCCTAACCATCCTAGATGAAATACAATTCTTTTCCGACTCATACTCGAATCAGTAATAGTCTATTGGCCAAGTTTTCTTTCAGCCTAGTTAGAAGGATGTCTTAGCTCCCTCCCTGGTGCATGAAAGTATTTAAGACATGACAGAAAGTTCGTCATTTTGTGTTATTACTTTACTATCTTTATTTTGTCAAGTTTTCAGGAAAATAATTTAAGGTAGAATTCCTTGCTATATGCTTTTGCATGTACCTTTTTTATCGACTTTGACAAACCAATTATCAAATGAGCGTTCAAGTTTGGAGCAGATAATTCTCTTGCACTGATTAGGAGTGTTAAAAGAGAATATGGCTATTCATGGCAGTGACGATTATTGTTGTCGTGATTTACCTTTATGATTTTCTAAGACTTTTTTCTTCCCCTAACAACACTGCAGATTGAACTCTGCCTTCTCAAGATTTCTGTATAAAGTTAGGTCAAGCTAAAGATAGCATTAGCTTTTGCAGGATTGCTTGCGTTTTTCGCTAAATATTTATCCAGTCTGTTTACACCATTGAATTAGATCCTATCTTTAACAGTGAATCTACAATAAGCTTCTGGCTTAATTAGGTCCGAATTAGGTCCGATTGTTCCTGGTAAAATTATGACATAGCATTCCAGTTACTGATAGTACAAAAAAGTCAAATCTGAGTCGCCGAGTGCCTTCACAAGTTTGGTCACTAATCGCTAATCGCTGTGCGATTTTTTACCATTGATTTTTTGCTGATAAGTTCGACTTTTTTATCAAAATTTCATATGAACTGGTGACCTTTTGTATATAAAAGGCCCCTAAACATCTCTTTATCTTTATATATCCACTTTTTTCTCTGTTAAGAATCTTGTAATTTGCCTTGTCAATCTCTACTGCTTTCTCCGGATCTCTGTATTACTTTGTCTGTGATATTATCGATAACAATCCTCCGTTTGGGCGCTTTAGTTGAGGCTTTTCAAAAGTGTGCTTATAATCGTGCGGGAACTGTGCATTAATATATTTCTATCACAACTTTCTATCTTAACTGGTTGGTTATTTATATTAAGGAATCGCAAGAAACTGACTTGTTTAAGCTGTACCCACGCTTCTCAGCATTTAGCAATGTTTGCGAACTATGCTTATAACTGCCGATCCTTAATCATTGCTACTTATGCTTTTCACTTTCAAGTTTCTTGCCTCGGCTTCTTTCGTCTAAAGCTTACAAACCTAATAATGCATTTGAATATTTTAATCTTGTATTGCATTTTTTTTCCTATTCTCCTAATAGAGAATGCAATTAACTTCTCTCTTATTTACTTTATATTTAGATGAAACCGGTTCATCATATCGATCTGCTACCGAAACCGTGGCTGTGCTCAGTGTTGGTGCTTGTCCACCACCCAAGCATGATCCGAATGTGATCGCCAGTCTCGTTAAACACTTCCTGCGGCATCTCCCTGAACCTGTGTTAACACGTCAACTTGGCCCCACCCTCGAGTCGCTAGCGTCGCGCAGTGAAGTTCCGGTTCCGGTCTGCCTCGCTGAGATCGCAGCTTGTCTCCATCAAGGTCCAAATGCTCTGCCACCTTCACACCGTTTCTTATTAGCATGGATGTTGCAGCACATGACTCACGTGATTCAGCACAGTCGAAATAATCGAATGAGTCTTGCGAACCTTTGCATCGTTCTTTCACCCTGTCTTGGCATTAGCCACCGACTACTTAGCCTCCTTCTACTTCCCGATTTATCAGTTGGCATCAATATTGCTATTAAACCGGTGAACGATTCTGCCTCTATTCAGCTTCCACACTGGCTATTCCCAGACCCACAGTACAGATTGCGTATCTATACGCCACCACTGCAGCCATTAGTCGGGCAGACTCAGCTCGAGCTTGAGCTGCCTGAAGAAGCAAGTGAGCTAGAGGAGGAGTTATCTAAACAAGAATCTGTGCTCGCGCATTTGCACGATCAGATCGGCCGTGGTGATACTAGCAGTGAAAAGGAGGAACTATTATGGGAGGTACGATTCTTATGAAGATATCCTTATAAAGCGATCAACATATGATAATTTATGCATTAGCTATGGTTTAGGTTTCTAAAAAATAAAATCATACTATTTAAAATGCAATTATGTCTATAGCATCTTTGTGCTTTCCATTTCTTGTGAAAAGTTGAACAGAAGTGCACTTGTTGAGACATCCGAGATAGGGCAATAGCTTGTTTGGGAAATATTTTGGTATTGGATGTTCAATTGCTTTTTCATTTTGCTTACCTTCCAGTTAAGTTCTGATTAACTTTAATTCACACTTTCAGTTGCATGTTAGCTTCCTTGTGCCATTACCTATTATTTAAAATTCGTCCTCTGCATTTTTATATTTTAACGGATATATACTCACTCAAACTAATTATGGAACCGTTTTCACCATTGTCTTGCATCCATATACGCCAGGTTACTCAGCCATCTATTTTCTCTTCACTTCATCCTCTTGCACAAAACGCCTAGGTCTTCCAGTTACCTATACTCAATCGACTCGAATAAGATCTACTTTATCCTTCGCCGTAACCAATTTCACTGATATGCTAACAACCTATTTCATCCTGCTTTATCGATTTCGACTATTCTGCACTTTGCTAGGTGCAACGCCTGGTTACTCAGATTAAACGGAAGAAGACCGTAGCCGAACTCTATGATCCAGAAGCAATTCAGCATGAGCTTAATCGACAACAAGCTCAGCTGGACAGGCTTCACAGGCGTCTTCAGAAGCAGGCTGTTCTTAGTGGTAAGGCTAGTGAGATCCCCTTCAGTGCTGAGACCGGCCAGCAGCCTTTCCCTTTAGCTGCTACAGTATCAAGTGTTCTCTCTCCCACCACTGCTTTAACCACCGCTGTTCCTACTGCCTCTACTTCAACATCATCTACTACTAGTACCACTTCTTCTAGCACCACTGCAACAAAGCCTATTTCTATGGGAACGACTTCCTGCACCACAGTAGCCGTTTCTTCTGAACCAATTACAAAAGTTACCAACACTCTTTCTTCCTCCCCTAATCCTGCGATTTCTACCACCAGTGGTTATTCCTCTTCTGGTCTTTCTTTTCCAAGAAGTGAAACCTTAATGACCAATGCTGCACCAGCATGCACTAATGCTATTTCTACCAGTGCTGTTACGACAACCACTGTCTCTGGCTTTGTAACAACGAGCGACGATGGCAGCACCTCTCTACCAGGTTAGACGCTGAGGATGATCTTGAATGAGCTTTAAATATGTGCTTAATTTGCTAATTTTATTATTTAACTAGTATTTGCAAATTGAGAGTATTGGTGATCAGAATTTCACCCCCTTTGGTGGTTTGGATGTAATAACTAGGGAACTATTTATAATGATGGCTTTCCTCCTGGTTTTAGTTATTACTGCCCATTTTTCCTGTTATTGGTATACAAGAAGCATTTGGTTTGCCTACATTTAAAATGATTTTGATTATTTTTTACCATCTTAACTGTGATACACCGTTTACTAGATTGTATATTATCTCTCTTATAATCACTGACAAACTTCGAAGGTATGAAGACCAAGATGGTATCGCCTTTCGTATGGTCGCAATCTCCTTTCATTGTATAGAAGTCATTTGATCATGTTTTCGCAACTTGGTCACATTTGAAGGAAGACCTAGAGAACGCATCTAGTGCTAAGAATGGCAAAGATCACTGACGATGCAGGCGAATCGTCTGGGAGTGGACACCTATCAAAATTGTTGTTTTTCATCGTAGAATCAATTGTGATTCTACACTTTTATTTAAAATCATACTTTACTAAATAGGACCGAAATAGTTAACCGTATAAGTTTCCAACAACTTGCACCTTTGGGATATTGCCTCGTGTACATAAATGTTCTGAAAATTGCCTCCTACAGCCAATCGCCATAACGAGTCAACACATTTAAAAAAGCAATTTAAATATTTTGCTTAAGTTTACAAGTGAAGGTGATATTTGTGCAGTGAGAATTTAAGAATTCACAATCCCACATAAGCAGATGGGGTTTCAAGCCGCAAAGACATTACCTACTTGTTGACAATACATTTTTTTATTCAAGTTGAACATGACGGTATCTTATGCTCTACCAAAACAAACCCTACTATGATCGAAAATTCTATCCCTTGGTAAGGATGTGGTGCAGTAAGTCGTGCCCGTGCACAGTAAGAGAAACAATTTACACTACATTGGAATAGCTCTGCATTATTTACCAACGTATAGTTTCATTACTTTACTTAGTTGTAGCATACGTAATTAGAAGGCAAACTAAATAAGAATATCGATTTATTCTTCACACTCTGGCGGTTACCTTGCCTTCCAAATAAATACCTTCCCCGATACAGTGTCTGTCCAACAAATTTTCTGGTCTCCTGGGGGAAAATCATCAACTCACATTGCGATTTGCTTTGATTCCACGGGGTTCAAATGATTTACTTTTTCTTATTGTTATAATTTATTATGGAGTTATGAGAATTCGTTAATTTCCTCTTCAGTTTCCTTGTTATTGTATTCACCCATTTATACAGATACTTCTATCTAATCATCGAAGCATAGGCATATTGTAATCCGAGGACGGAGTTTGTATCTAAAATATAAAAAGCTTGTGTTCTGCAACGTGATATAAGGTTGGACGCCCCGGGGCGAAGAAAACAGAGGATAAGTCGTATCGCCAAGTTTCCTAATTAGAACTAGCTGAATTACAGCATAGTACGGAGAATAGAAAGTCGAGCATTGGATGCCGCGCTTGATATAAGGATCCAAATTCCGCCGGTCACAAGGGAGTGGAGAAAGAGAAGTAAGACGACGTGACCAATCTACAAAGCATGTTTGCTGCTTGAAATACCCTCGCCTGGTTTTGTATGTCATCTTCGGATTGGTTCGAAAGGTAGACACGATGGGGCGCCGGGCTTTGATTGGTCTTCGTGACATAAAGTGAGGATTAATCACACTCTCACGTAGTCTGTGTCAAAAGGTGTTGAGCCATGACTACGCACGTAATATAACAAAATTATGTAGATATGAAGAGTAATTGGGTTTCGATTACTCTTCTGAGATAACATTGTTGAGGAGACCTTTATTTCGCATGAAAATGCATGCACGAAATTAAGGTAACAACTAGACATTAAATGGACAAATGAATGGACAAGCCATTATAGGCATTTCGAAATTAAAGCCATGTGAGATTTCTTAATGTAGTTATGCAGAAATATCAGGGAGAATTGCAACAATGATTTGAGAATGTGCAAAAAAGACTTTAACTTTGAGAAGTAGTTGACAAAGGACAAATAAAAATACCGCTATATTGGACTAATTGGCAAGCCCAGGCATTCCCTTCTTAGGATGAGGGAGGGCCACTGCGAGTATACCTAAAACTTTCGTTCTGTGTGCATTAGGTGAACACACAATTCCGTCCTATGCTTTCATTCATTTCCCCTTGATCATCACTTTTATTAATCATTTAAATTATGCAAGATCTGAATATGTAAAAAATGTATTTTTTGGGAGCAATTTTGGGGCCCTTATAAAGCTAAAGAGCAAGACTGAAATGCAACGTTATAGTTTGTTGTTTTATTTTTCCTTTTTCTCCTTTTATTGTGTTAATATACTTTGATTTATGCTACATGCTTATTTCAACAAATCAATCGCTCTCTTGAAGTTTCACATTTTATTATATATGTAGATTTGTAATCTAGAAATATTCAAAGCTACAATTCCCCTACATTCTCCTATCATAATTTTAGTTTTTATGACACTTCTGCCTTCTTCTCTTTCTATCTTTTAATCCTATTATTTCATTTTAATTTTGTTTGCTTCCTCTTGTTTGCAATTTACTTTCTTGTCATATCCTCCATCTGTCCATACTCATACGCACTTCTGCTCGATCGCATGCAGCCTGTGCTAGTGATATCGAAGCTGGAATGTGGGAACTTCAGAGAATGATAACAATGCTGAAACGCCGTCTTAAAAAGCAGCAACAGCTACGTCTGGCTCGCATATCCACTATAGATGAGGCGACTCCCCTACCTGTCGAATCCACTACCTTGGTGGCTAGTAATGTAGAGGCAGTTACTTCTACCGTTCGTGATGGTGGATTAAGTGGAAAGACAGGTAATTCTAGCAGTGCAGGTATAGCTGGCAATTTATCCAATTTGGCACAAAAGCCGAGTACACCTGGAGAATCTCAAATCGACACAGGAACGCCACACAAGGCTGGATCACTCGCGGGGATAAATATGCGTCTCGGTGGGGGCGTAAAGGGTCCAACGGCCAATGACTTAGACCAAGAGGAGGTGCTCAATTTAACTCTTAGGTTGGTTTATAGCGGCATTAACTGTAGTCTATATCATCCCAATATTCGATTCAACAGTCTTTATAGATCCTCTCTTACTTTTGCAGGGTATACTTTCACCAGACCGACTTACTTTAAAGCCAACACAAAACGACACTTTTAATTTCTATTTTAAAATGGAGCATTTCCACTTTTATTTACTTTTTCGCGACTTTCGTATTCAAATCTCGCTCTAGTTTGCATTTTGATGACTTATAGTCAGTGTTTAATAATCATGACTCACTTTTTTTTACTATTTTTTTGTTAAAAAACTGAGCATAAAATTATTTAGTAGTTATTTGACCTTGTTTTCGCAACTTGGTCATATTGACAGGAAGCCATAGAGGAGCCCATCCTGTCCAGATCGTGAACTTGGTACATTACCGGTATCGTTAATCAGCCTTTTCATTCTTAGCACCACACCACAACTCGTAAAGGAGACAAGTAAACGTAATCCTTTGACCAATTGTATGCTTAACATTTATGGTATCTCTCCATCTGTTCTGGGTTATCTTTATCTATCCTATATCCTGGTATCACCCCTTCACTATTACAATTTCTTACTTGCCTCTGAATCTGGTTCTAGTGTCTCCTTTTGAGCGGATGTCATCCCCGCTGGCTTTCTCACCCCAAAACCCTTGTGCTGGTAATGTCGATCTGAGTCTACCATATTAGTCAGCAATCCTTTTTTAGGTCGTCCTATCAGAGTCTTCTTCTTGCCCTGTAGGATTCGTATCTTATTTCCCTGGTTCAGGGATTTCGCTCGACCGCTGTCACTATCTATGCTACTCCATGCGTTATTTCCAACACTGCATCAAGCCTTTGATGGTACGCATACTTCCGCCTCTGAGCAGACCCCTAAAAATCAGGATTCTCAAGCTGAATGGGAAATTAGCTTGAGGTTATAGATCCCCTTATCACTGCTCAACGTGCACCTGGTAATACTTATGTTCAAGCTTTTGCTTCACTGACCACGCCTATGACCAAACATGTCTACTGTTAACCAACTAGTTTTAGTCTGCGCCAAATCTATTGTGTTTCTATCCATAATGCCAAGTCTATGACTTCCTATGTCCTATTCTCTTTTTTACCGACCCCCAAATGTTGTAATTCCACTTGTTCTAATAAGCTCACTACAGACATCTTCTTTTGCTTTCTAATTGTCCCCCTGTGACCTCGTAATTTCTTTTTTTCATGCTCAAAATTTTTTCTCGACCTAGTCGTCTTCTTCTTGCTGATATTTCCCTTCCATGATCTTCTCAGAGTCTGCTTAGGCAATATGCAAAGTTTTCTATGATCCTGCCTTCTTTAAGTCTCCTATTCATTAGATTTCTATCCAACAGTATATCAATGGCCTCTCGAATCTTGCGTCTTCTTGCATTTTCACTATACACAGCCAAACTTTCTG